CCTGTTAATTTTTTTCCCTTCTCCTCTGGCGACTGTGTGATGAATCCTTTCTTGCGTGATCAGGTTGCGGATAGACTTGTAAGGGTGTTTGCTGCATACAGTGTAAGCATTGTGACCGCCAATAAACTTCAATGGTTTCTACTGACCTGGCTTCAGCAATCATGTCCCGTGTGTGTCCAAGGACATATCTCACTCAAAACACGTGAAGATGTGTGAGGCATTCTTAAAAAGCTGGTAAATGATGGGCCCCTCTACCTGATCAAATTAACTTCTCATTGCACTCAGTTTCTTCTAATAGCATGATACGGTTGATTTATCTCTCTCAACAAAACCAATCACATGCTGTTGTCCACAGCTATAAAGTGGAAGCCACTCTACCTCTCTATTAGCTTTCAGATAATAACATGGCTACGAGCAGACAAGTAGTAATTGAAGAAAGCCCGGTTGTGTTAATGTTCTGACATCAGCTTCTCTGATGTGGGCTGGGTTTCCTTCATTAGACCATGACAGGTTCAAGGGTAGATGTTATCCCCATGGAATACTTTGCAGACCTCACAGGTCAGACTTATCAAATGAGGAACACTTGTTAGGAGGGACTACTTCTAACCCCTGCCATGTATGTATTCAGAGTACATGCGTATGAGGGAACTTCATTGCCAGAAACACAGGAAAGCATTAAGTTATTAGAAAGGTATGTGTATCTTAGTGTAGCTGTTCATCCCATGACTCTCAGGCGCCAGGGTGGCATTCTTGTCTGCTTATGTACACGTACTACTACCGTTCAGTTTCAGCCTTCTGGGAACTGCTATAGCTGCCTCAGTCCTCTGTTATTTCAAAGGCAGAAAGTTGTGTTCTGATGGCTACAAGGCAAATGGATTTGATTCGTCTTAGCTAAATTCCATCGCTAAGCCTAGCAAATATTAAATGGTGAGTTTTCATTAATATGCATACACTTCTGACATGTCCCTGGCACCTGGAATTCTGATGCTATAGTTAAGTGACACAAAAATAACTTTGTCATGTATACTTGAGTCCACTCTCACCACCTATTTTGAGGTGCTAATTAATCAGTAAAACTCCAGACCCCTCCCTTCCCTTCCACAAAAATAATTTCAGAGGCAAGAAACTCACCGAAGATAGGGGTAGTGCAGTCCAGTCACAAGGTGCCATGATTAAAATCCTCCACAGCTTCACCAGACTTCAGACAGTGGTGCTGTTCCCTCCTTTGCTGACAATTAAGAGGGGGCACCAAATCACCTTTTGGTCAAAAATGGTCAGTTAGCATTTTCATATGATTCAACCTAGTAAATGTGAAAATTGATTAATCTTCAGATTTTGGTTTCCCCAGAAATCGAGACTTTTCAGTCAAAAAGTGAATTTCTAGGCTTATTTCCTAGGCACTATGTCCATCTAGTCAAGGGTCTAGTGTTTCCTGACACAAACTGTACCTTACATTAAAAATGCCTAAATTCTTTACTATAGATTATTAAATTGTGTTTGTATATGTTTTGTTGGCTCAGCCCAAATAAGGGTTATCTGTTCCCACTAACATGTAAATCAGACAAAGGAAGAAAGGATTTGGCCCAGGATTGCCATTTTAAGTTTTTAAATTTTAAGAAATAATTACTTTGGGCAGAAGTGCCCATTTTCTTTTTTCCATTTATTTTTTTTATTGCATTTTAGGTTTTGGAGTACATGTGAAGAACATGCAAGATTGTTGCATAGGTACACATGTGGCAGTGTGATTTGCTGCCTTCCCCCCCATCACCTACATCTGGCATCTCTCCCCTTGCTATCTCTCCCCAACTCCCCACCCCCCACCGTCCCTCCCCTATTTCCCCCCAACTGACCCCAG